GTAGTCAGATGTGGGTTATTGGCAAAGGAACCCTACAGCCAGGTGAAAGATGGATCAGAGGGCACACACTAGAAGCTTGTAGCACTCTTGTTGGTTACTGTGTTTTCAGCAAAATTTTCCATGGAGAGACCATTGTTTTGTGCACAGAGAAAACAAACTTCCCTTATCACCAAGTGCAAGTTGTTATGTACTAATTGAGGTCATAGTAGGGCAGTGGGTGGTACCACACAGGCATAAACAGTATCCCTCATAAGAAATAAGATGGAAACATTGTCAGCAGAAATCACAAATTTATTAACTCTTAAATATATCAATCAGTCATTTACCATTATGGCAAGAAATATATACAGTGTCCCATGGTAAACTGCAGTGTTCCAAAATGATAGAAGGTAATAAATGTGTAATTCGATTGTGGTGGAGAGAACGAATCACAATTTCCTCACATTGTAGTGTGGAAGACAAACTTGATCTACAGTAATACTTCAACACCACATGCTAAGTTAAAAGTGTAAAAAAAAAACACTCTATACCTATATATTTTTAAATACATGTATGCCACTTATAGCCTCTTCACAAAAAGGTAAAAGAAATTATAAAGGGAAACTGAGGCCATTACTTTTTCACAGATCTCATTGGCAGGTTAACATGGCTCAATACATTTACTGTATATATTCATTTTAAATATATATTGTTTTAAATTGTGTAATAATTATCAGAAAAGCTTCAACCCATCTACCATACATCCACTAGCAACAATACCTAAGGTGATTAGTAATCAACACAGAAGGTGAAGTGTGAGAAAAGATGTTTTGTTTGTATTTTTTTTGCTTCTGCTTTAAAAATAGGCTTCTGAGGAGTGTATCTATGGTTAAAACAATGCTGCTGGAGAGTCCATGCATTCTAAAGCATTTCAGGGAAGAGAAAAAGCCTCATGGGGATTGAATCTACAAAGGAGAAATGTGAAGCACAAAGAAAACTGGGACATTTCCCTTTTCTTTTTGTTTTAAACTGGAAAATCCTAACTCCTTGGAGGAAGATAATGATACTGACTCAAGAGAGAAGCTCAAAAAGCACAAGTCACAAAGATCAAGTTCAAACACTTAAGAGATGAAAAAACATGACTAAGCTCTCTAACTTTAGAAAGTAGCTAGTGACAGGAGGAAGGACCTCATTGCAGGAGTGGAAACACGTGCTTTTGCACAAAACCTGATCGCTCTTGATTTGTATTCTCCTGGCAATCTTCCCAGGCAGTAAGGTAGTTACAGCAGGGCCTTACTTATGGTACACAGCCTTAATACTTATAACACCTCCCACACAGTTTACAATACCTAACTCCAAACAGGAGCTCAAGCAGAATTTCAAAAATCTTTACTCAAAGTCCTCTTCACAAGTTTTTGTGGGCTCTGAACATAATCAAAAGTGCTAGTTCAGGTCCTTCCAAAGGCCTTGGTTTTTATTTTACCTTTACTATGCAAATTACATGTTTAATCTTTTCCTTACATACTACCAGCCAAAGAAAGAAAGGAAAATAAAGATGGAAAAAACAAATGAAAAATAAAAAGGAAGCAAACATAAGGAGTAAAACAAGTAGGATAAAATGAAGAAAGGCTGGAAGATATGAGAAAGAGAGACAGAGGGGAAACTCAGTCAATTCACCAGAATGGTGTGAGTCTATCCTACAGTGATCAAACTCACAATGATGTGAACGTTTCCAGTTTACACAGTTTGACCAAACCAACATGGCTTTGATGGTAACACACCAAGTGATTCTTGCGTCTATATTCATGTGATTTTGCCCACATATCAGCCACTTTCATTGTTCAACACAAACATTCAGAGAAAAATCATCCATTTCAACCAGGATCACAACAGGAAACTGAAGGTTATATATTTTTTGCCTTAAAGAAAAAAAAAAAAACAGATTAACAGCAAAGAGATCTAAAAAAATTTACATTTCTCTTACAAACTGTCATTTGGAGAACATTTTTTAAATTCTGTTAAATCTTGGCATAAACAAAGAACTTGATGAATAGGTTTTATTTGGAATATGTGAATTTTTTTTTGTCTGATCTCCCCCATTATTCTCCAACAGTAATTTAAGTTTGCATGGAACATCCATCCTGGTAGTTGAAGTGTAAACAATGTAGAAGAATATATGATAAGATGATGTATCACATATGCTTTACATGTAGGACTTCACAATTCATGCACTCAGAAACATGCATGAAGAGGAGGAGAGGACGGCCCAGGGTGACCTCTAGGTGCCTTGAGAACAGAGAATGCAGGAGTGGCACTGTTGATAATAGCTGAAAGAAGAAAGGGGAGGAGGAAATAAGTTATATTGTTTTATAAAAATATCATTCAACTATTTGCCATAGATGTGACTAGGCTACAATTTTATAACTCATCTAAAGATAGTTTGAAAACACTACACATAAGCTCTTTGCTTGAGATCATTACAAGATAAAATATACAATGTTCAATGAAGACAATATTGAAAAAAGACAACCAGTATTATCTATTTGATCACACAAAGCTAAGTTAAAAATGAAGAGATGAGGTCACAGGCACCCACTCCATTATTAAATCTAAACATATTTCTAAGCATTCATATTCGCTAGAAAAATTTAATAAATTACTATTATTATTTGGTTGAAACAGAAAGTTCAAGTTCATCTTGAGCTTGTTCATTATTCTTAGGCTCCTTAGAAATAAATCAAATCTTGAAGTCAATTTGACAAGGAATATAGCATCAAAAGTGGAGAAAACATGAATATTCTTATTTAATTCTTTAAAGAACATGCTGAGCACACTATTTCTAGAAGCTCTGGTATGGTTCTGCATTGAGTGGAGAAAATATTTACAAACAGCACCACACATACCTGGATCCTAATCCAAGCTAAGAAATAAATCTTTTAAAACATTTAACACAGGCATGAATTTAATTGCAGTCAATTTTGAATTATCCTCTGAATTGTTACTTGTGCATTTTAAATTTCATCTTGACTTCCTCTTGTGACCTGTCCTCCATGTTCAAGTACCATGACAGTCAGACACAGCACACTAATTTACATATTAACCGTAGCAAACTGTTTACAGGAATGGCAACTTCTAGAAAAATGGTAAGACACTAAAGGGTTCTAAAGTTTAACATAAATTAGTCTGGATAATTGAGATTGTTTGAATTGACTCAGATAAAATCAACTTTTGATGTGAGAATTCCAGGATTCTAAAATGAACAATCCAAATATTGAGAAGAGATTTCTCTTGGTGTGTATCACCCTTAAAAAAAAAGGTTATGCTATTATAAAATGATGCTGAACAGTAGATGTAAGAGCTCATGCAGAATTGCAATGGATTTTCACAGACTGTGTAGGATTTCATTGAGTATAATGCAGAGCAAATATCCTCAAAAAGGAAGAGAACAGCCATGCAGCTTTGCAGTCAACAGCTCCAGTTGCAAAATCCTCACGGAGCAGATGCTACTTACAAGACCCGTATGTGAATGGTTTTCAGGCCTAGATGTTTTGCCACAAAGAGGTGCCTCCTGAGTTTTCTTTCCCATTTGGAATACACTGGTGGCCTATTAAGAGAAGCCCCATTTAAGCCACCTGGCATAAAGGAAGTTTTTAAATAGGCTCTATCCCATTAACACTTGAGAGGATTGCAAGAAAACCCAGCCCCTTGGTACTGTATGAATGTAATTTCTTCTATATCAACTGGTAATTTGTGTTGTTACTCTTCGGGGTAACAAACACACAAAAACTGGTGTCTTCCTGATCTTCATATTCCTTTTGTGGTCTTTCTTTTGATTACACAGCTATTATTTTTGGAAATGAATTTCACCTACTTTTTGGTCTTTGTTGATTCACTTTATATAAATCCAACAGTGATATGTAATTATTTAAGGCTATAGGGAAGGCCTTTGAAAATCACTGTGGTTGATAATGTATTATCAAAACTAAGAAATGACAGATTCTCTGGCATGAGTTGAATGACTCTTTGTGTGAATTGACTCCCAAGTCTATACCCTCAAAATTATCAGTGATCCTGGTGAGAGAAGTTGGAGAGAGATCAGCAGTGGGCAAGCTTCTCCTGACTGAGTCTAAACTCTCTTCCAGCTTTCATGTCATCCCACTTCACTGGTACAACCATTTCCCATGATTCCCTTTACTACAGCCGGAGTAGCCTTCCTTTCCTGCGAGGTCCTATCATGTTAGCTGAAAGTCCTGACACTCAGCTTTTCTCCATTAAGTTCTTTTAGCTTGGACTATCTCCCCCTTTTCTATCTTTTGATGTCTTCAAATCCACTTGTCGATCTTGTTTAGAATTCTATCGCATATGCAAGTGTATATCCCAACTGTCAGAAGCAATTTTCTCTAGTGGTTATTCATTTCATTCTACCCTGAAGCTGATTAAAACTTCATTACACAGTTCTTTTTCTCCGGTGCCAGTGGTCAGCTGCTTTCTAAGCTAGAATACGTTCCTTGGGGCAATGTCTTTATCTTGTACTTTATCTGGCCACAGAAGGAGCGCCTACCAGATGTGTTGTAAACACGTGTCTGATTATTGATGAGAAGTCAGACAAGACATCTGAGGTACAGAGGTTAGGTGAGACATACTTCCATACTGATATTTGCTTTTTACATGTTTGTCATGTAATTTTTTCCTAATGTCAGTAACTGAGCCCCGGGGGTAATCTTTGAAGTGAAGTTCATGATGGTACCTTGGCCATATTAGAAAACTCTGCCTTATACTTACCTCTCATTCCCCTTCCCCTTCCAAGTGAAATGAAGTCACAAATATTTTTCCTTATTATACAAAGCCCCCTGATTTAACCCAATGATGAATCAGTCTGATAGGGTAGTTTCTAAAACTGTTGGGCACTGCTTTATGGTAGGGTTTAGCCAACAAATGGTTGGTCTGATTGATCTTCCTAGAGAAAGTAGAAGGAGCTGGCCTTGGGGGTCGTAATAAAGAAGCTGACAGCCAGGAAATATTTACTTGATGGGTACTGTTGGTGACCCCGAGCGATGAAAATGAACGTTCTGCCACTTTCCATCCCGGCGGTGCCACACACGGGTCTCTTCCGACTGCATTGTCTTTGGCATTCCACTGCCATCCATGTACTGTGTGAGCCTAATGTACGCTATGCAGGCAGCATCGTCCCCTACCAGGTGGACGTGAGGGTTCAGGATGATCGTGTGGATGGGCTTATTGCTTTTGGACAAAGCTGAAAGAGAAAAAGAAAAAGAAAAAAAAAATCAGTTTCTGTATAAAGTAAGCCAAAATCAGTAATAACTTCAGTTGGGATCAATGGATGGAATACTGTTCATCCACTCCTTCATGAATTAGTTAACCTATTTGCACTAGTTGAGTACTGGGTACTGAATAAAATAGAAAGAATAAAAGAAAGAACTAAGTGGATATAATATTTTTCTCTGATTCCCTTTAGACGCAATTGGTGCTAAGCTGGAAATTTTGATTTATTGGGTTGGCTAAGAGATGTATTTAATAATTGCGGGAAGTAGCTAGAGATGGAAGCCATGAACAGAGGTGGAGAAGGCCGGCACTGTCCTGTCTTTTCAGTGAATGACCCACCGGGGCAGTGGACACACAGTAGTCTGTGGGATTGTTTCTGTTTGTTGGTGAAGAACTGGATGAGTGAAACCTATTGAGTGTCAAGTGTGGAGATCAGCCTCCAAAGTAAAGGCTGGATGCAGCATGGATTTGATGCAGCATGGATTTGTTTCTGTAGCTCTCATCTCATGACTTCTCCATGTAGCAGGGGTCATTCCATGGCAATCCATTTGTGATCATCAAATGGAAAAAAAATCACAATTTGTTGCTGACCACATGTCTGATTCTCACCATCTGGTTTCTTTTGCCTATGAGGTCCTCACCAGGCTCCAGCTCCTGCTGTTTTAATAGTAACCAGGCATTCTAATTATCAAGCAACCAGGAGATGGGAGGATTTAGTACGCATCACACACTGCTAGTTTTTCTTAGATCACCAGAATAGGAAGAACTGTTTACACTGTTACCCAAATGTGCTTCCCAGTCTCAGATTATTCAATTAAAATGTTAATGGATTATGAACTCTTTTACTAGAGATGAGATGTGCGACTGAGTCAGATGGAGAGACATGAGATGCTGTCACTGAGAACTGGTGAACAGAGAATATGAGAACATTTTCTCTTGTCAATGTGAACTTACCAATTAATTCTCTTGCCTTGCTTGTTTGCAAATGCCTAATGTCTATTAGAGAAAGTAATTCATTCAAAACATCTTGCTAATGCATATAGTCACTACAAGTGAACTTAACTATCTTAAAGGTTTACGTTATCGTGCTAATGCAATGAGCTCTCACTGGATTCTCCCCATGCGTCTATAATGTCATTGGGTAAGGAAAAGAGGAACAAAGGGAATTCCTGGTTTACACCGTAGTTGACTTGAAGGATTTCTGCAGGACAAATGGCTTTTGCCAGCTTTCTCTGAAATGTAGCTGTGTCCTCTGAGACACTAACACCTTGCAAATTGGATGTTTATCCATTTATCTCTTTGCTCCTTTTTATTGACATTTTCTTGGAAATAAGCCACCAAATATGCTAGACAGTCCTCTTCTATGTTGAATACTACAGTGTGCTGTGATTTCTTTTATTTTTTATGTAATTATATATATATATGAGATAATACATTTTTGTATGTATGTCGGTTATATATACATTCATTGTTACTAAATTTGGTATGTTTATGCAAAGACAATTATTTTTCAAAACACAAAAATTTTAAATCTGATATATATATATATTGAAAACTATATTATATTTAAACTTCAACATAAAAATATCATCTGGTTAATATGCTGGAGATTCTGGATGAAGGTAAAGATTCTCTCACAGAATAGAGACAAAGAATCTGTGCATCTGGGAGAAGCAGGAAGAGAAGTTGAAAAGGCAAGTTACAGGATTGGGGCAATTGTACCATTTCAAAGTAGAACACCGGTGAAAAGTCCATTCCCTCCACCAAGTTACCCAATGCCTCAGGCTCAAAGGCAGTAAGGCCTGGGTCACAGATTTTT